CGGCCTTTCCCCAATCTGCAGCTCCAGTTTTAGCTGGAGAATTATGGTATGTGACAGCCTTTTAAGGCTTAAATTGTTCATTTAGTTTGCTGGCTGTGTATGTCCGAATTTTGCTAGAAAAATGGGGAAGAATTTGATAGCTTTAGGACCATGATTGAGCTTAATTGAAGTGGGATTTATGTGATTGAGTGTTAATTGACTACTGTGTGATTTTTGGAGAAAATCCCGTGAATTAGCTAGTGTTGGCCAATTTTGGAAGTGCAGTTACTGTTCACGGTACTGTTCATAGGTACTACTCATGGGGTACTGTTCACAGAACACTGTTCACACCCTGAGATTTAACGATTAATGGGGATTTAAATGATTAGTTTGTGATATAAGAACGAAATTGGAGATATCTGATAATGTGGAGATTGATAGGAAATAGCATTGTGATTAGGGGATGATCCTAATGATGATTTCAGTTTGAATTTGTGATAGTCTGGTAATTAATTCGTGGATATTTTGATTAGGTTCTTGATTGTTCTGTTAGTTTAGTACGTGACTTGAGTGCTCGGTTTTGCGGAGTGAGGTAAGTAAATTATGGTAACGCCCTTTGATTTTAAAAGCATGTTTTGATTTGTTTTCGAAGTGGTGGTGGGACTAAACCCGTTTTACACAAGTATGACTGATTTGAAGTGAAATGTTTTATGCTTTTCATTAAATTGAGCATGCTTACTTGAAATTTAAGTGACTGTCCTGATGATCTGAAAGAGATTGTGAATTGTGATTTTCCTGTTAACTTATGCCTGTTTTGTCTCCGATGTGGTCATGTTATTCGTGACCCTGCTAGTGGGGAGGTTATAAACGCTAGCACATGTCGGCACATGTCGATATGTTATTCGTGACCCTGCTAGTGGGGGAGGTTATAAACGCTAGCACATGTCGACATGTTATTGATAGAACCGGTTCGTTGAGTGACCCTACTTGTGGGGGTTATACACCAGCAAACAGTGACTCTGCTTGTGGGGATTATACACCAGCAAACGGTGCGCCTGCCAGGGGGTGTTAGACGCTGGCCATGACCTATAAAGGAGACGTCTATTTCGTTCCCATACTGTATCCGTTTTGCGTGATTGCACATGTTGGCATGCTATAAGTTTAATAATGGGCACTCCATATTTTACTTACTGAGTTTATCTCATAGTTTTTCCTTGTCCACCATTTCAGGAAGTGAATCCGAGGACGGGGAAACCACGGGAAGTGACGAGTTAAAAGGCTAGCCATATTGTAATTGAACATAGACTTTATAATTTGATCTTCAGATTTTGATGGTATCAGAGTATGATATGATTAAGTTCCAAGCCTTATGCATTTGTGGGACTCGTCTCGCGAGTGCACGGCGTCTGTCGCGCCTCGAATTTGAGTTTGGGGCGTGACATGCATAAAATTAATTATAAATTTACACATTATATTATACATAAATAGTGTACTAAAAACATTGTACCCTAGCCATTTTTGGGGTAAAAAACATATTGAGTAGGAAATGATCAAATTATAAGACTAACAAACAACAAATTATTATTTATTTTTTTATATAATATTCATTTTTAAATTCTTTTAGATTGAACTATTTTATTTCAACAAGCCATTAATTATTGGGTGATTGACCAATGATTCAATCAATTAAATCAGTAACTTAATCAATAAATCTCTAGTCTAGTTTTGAAAACATTGGTATATGAAACAAATTTAAATTCATTTTTTTTATATTGTAGAAATAAAATTTAGAAGTGTTGCAAGCAAAAATATCTTCACATGGAATTGTAGAAAGACATTTACTCCACCTACTTTTCTACACAAAACACAAGTGAGATTAACCTTATTTTATCCTTTTTATTATGTTGATTAAATTTTGTAGCAAAACTAGTAATGGAAAGATTGACCACTAAAATGCAAAGTTTTAGCAACATGATCCATTTTACTAAAAACTTCTTCTATAAGGGTAAGTGTCTCTACATTGCTAAGCTCATGGATGAAGGTCTTGTGGCACTTGGGTCTTTCAATAAAAGAATAAGCGAGGTGGATTGCACTTGTGAATGAATATTTCACTTTCACCCATATGGTATTTAATGTTATTTAATGGTCATCAAAGCATTTGACTGTAGTCCTCAAACACAAATAACAAGGTAAACAACATGAGTAAATCCTTTCTTTCACCTACATGGACCTTATTGCTATCTAAAGGAACATGAACCACTCAAATTGACATTGGACATGATGTCATATATTTCACCCATGTACCTTTTATAATTACATAAATGCACGTGAAACTATTCCAAAGTTTGTATAGTTTATCACTCAGATGGAATGCAATACTACACCAACGTTTATTTACCTGAATCAAAATGTTAAAAATCTATTATAAACAAAAAAAAAAACATTTACCCACATGAGCCAAAATATTAAATATTAATTCCAAATTTTGTTTTGAAATATTTATAAACCACATTTGACATCAATTTAGATCATTAAATAGGCTACAAATAGGATGAAAGACATAAAATAATTATGTTTATTAAATAACTTAACATTTCCATATATAAGAAATTCTAAAACAAAATTAATCTATTTATACATATAATGAAATTAAAAGAATAATTAACAAGTTACTGAACTAAAATTAAATATAAAAATTCAATCAAATTCATAAAATCCAACAATATACCTTTCAAAAATTACAAAAATTTTAATAATTATTAGCACCTAAAAAAAATTAGAAGATTTGTTTGGATTTAAGTGGAAAAAAAGTTATAAATGACCAAATTACAAAACAAAATGAGAAACTAAATTAATTTAAACCTCATGAATTAGGGACAATATCTCACCTACAAAACCAAAGCAAATTCATAGATTATATCAAATAATATTTGCCCAACTTCACATTCTCATAAATTTTGGAGAAAAAATGACAAGTCAATTAAATTTGGTGAAATTTAAAGAGATAAGAAGACTTTTACCAACTAAAATCAAAATGTTAATCTACAAAACCATCAAAGAAAAACAAATTTTAATTAATGCTCAACTTTAACACATTAATAATCAAAATTTAAGAGGAAAAAAATAACAAATATTAAAATAACAAAATCGTAATATAAATGTGATATGCTATGGTCATAATCTAAAGAAAATTGGTTATCTAAGGCCACAAAAAGTAATAGTTGAACTAGAGAAAAGTAAACAAGGAGGAAGAGAAAGGAGAAGAAGGAAAAAGGAAAGGAAAAATGCAGAAAGCTCTTATTATTGTGATATATGTACTGAAATCCAATAGACCCTTCTACATAAGTAAAAGTAATAACAACTTTTACTCATGTAGGATACAATGCCATATAAGGGCAACAAGGTACTTGACAAAATAATTTGAATAAAGCTCAAATATTGTATAATAAGTGAAAGTTGGAATAGCTTTTATCCACATGAGGTCCAATTGTGTTTAAAGATGATAATAGGCGCCACCACAAAAAATTTGAAAAGTTTACATGGCTCAGGAGTTTAAAATATTTTCACCAAATTACCTATGTATAACCTATTGCTACATTAAAACCATCACTCATGTAAATGTAATGTTACCTTGAAATTGTCTAAAACGCTGCTACCTTTGAAACTTTGCCAAACACCAACATGCCACACATTGCTATATATATCAACAATGTGAATCTCGTCTCTAAATATTGATTCCCTAGTCTCATTCCCTTAAAATGCCTTAACTAGGCAATGACAAAGGAAGGCATTGATATTTTTACCAGGACTTTTGGGATTAGCAATGATTAAAGTTAGAAATGTAACTCAAGTCTCATGCACATGTTGGGCAAAAGGTTATATACTAGAAGGAAAATAGGCCAATAAGAGTAAGTAGTGATCGAATGACCCCATAGGTTGAATCCATCTATAGCGAGGCCTAATCAAACATTATGTGGCTTTTGGGCAAACCATGGATGTGTTCAATTAAAGTTGCCTCCATACTTCAAATTGCATAGGTTGAATGAGGACATCTATTTCATCACGACATTTTAGATGTCATATTATATACTAAACCATTTTGCAAGACATGTATAACCTGTATGATTGTACTATAACCAACACCAATTATATAGTTTTCAAATTTTGTATACAATATATAAGCTACGCACCCAGAATAATCTCATTTTTGCTAGAAGAACCAAGAGGGATTGTTGATGAAGAAGCAAGTCATAAAATGACTTAGTGTGTCTGTTAGGCTCCTCATTTAGAGGATGATTTAGGTATGATGATGATCATCCTCCTAACAAAATACATTATAAACCATTTGATGGAATCATCCTGATGTTGCATGTATAGATCATTAATATGTGATGATTCAACAAAATGAACTACAAACCATGGATCTATATTTCCATGTAAGCATTCACCTCTACCCACCAAATAGTATATGAATTCATAAGCCCATACTTCGGAAGATGATCCCAGATAATGTCCCGATTATGTAAAGGGAGATTCATGCATTCAGCACAAAGACATCTAATATTGTTGTTAGGACAAACCCTAATCTAACTATATGCACACTCAAAGATTTTTTGTAGTCCAATGAAGAATTCATTATATATTTTTTCATAAGCACTAAGTCATTTATACATCCAATGAGATTCATCCGTTATTATAAAAACTACTAATAATTTGATAATAAATAAATTAAATATTAAATAATAATATTCTTTTAACAAATTTAAGATAAAATATTTTAGAAAATGAGAAATTGATTGTATACCATTAATTAATTTAAATTCCCCTATAAAATGAAATCCTAAAACAAAACTTTAAAATCAATGTAAGATATATATTTCATCTATTTATAATCATTTATACATACATAATAATTAATATGTTTTTTAATATAAATGGGAAAAAAAATTAAAACAACCAAACTTAGTTTTGCAATGAAAATGATATAGTGATTCTATTTTAAATTGTAATAAAATGAAAGCAATGTTAGAATTAATTCTTTAAAAAATAAAAATTTGGTTAGAAAGTCATCAAAAAAGCATTAGAAAACCACTAAAAAAACACCATAAAATAAGAAATCATTTCAACACTTATCACATACAGTAGATTAAGTGATCTCTAAGAGAAATGTTGTGCAATAAAAATTTACTACTTTCATCAACTGAAAAACAAAAAATCAAGAAATCCTAAATGAAGGAAAGGAAAAAAAAAACTCAAATTGGGTCAAAATAGGCAGAACTTACATTTGGAGTGAAAGTGCCAATGAAATTCAGCCAAAATCTTAGCTTTTCTACTTGGATTTGGTGTTGGAGTTTAGGAGGCTAGAAGTGGCAATGAGAAGTTTGAAGATAGTGCAAAGTGCATGGGGTTTTGCAAGTTCCTAGAGAGGAAAGGTCCTTTACCCATATGGACAATGATGCTAGCTATGATTTGATGCTAGTTGTAGTCTAATCGTTACAAGTTACAGGTTAAGATGGTATGTTTTTAAAGTTTGAATGGTAAATACCAATATGCACCATAATGGCCAATGCAAAAGAACAAAAAGAAAAAAGAAACTTCAACAATGTGTGTTAAAATGTTAAATGAAAAAATCTCAACCACCCATGTAAATTGCAATGCTCAATCCCAAATAATTGTTATTCGTTGCTATTATTTTAAAACTTGGTATAAAAATATAAATATAATAAAATGTAACAAATAATAGTAAAACATCTTAAAAATTAACTTATATTGTATGACATAAAAAGTAGTAATATTTAATATTATTTTAATTTATAAAACTTAACATAACATCATTGAGTTTAACCGTTTTTAAAGGATAATTAAAAGTTATAAATTAAAATAGTAAATAATAGTTAAAAATACAAACAAATATATGGTCTTCAAAGCAAGAAACAAGAAAATGTATATTATAGTTCTGAAATAAAATGTAATTTGTTAACTACATTATCTTAATATTTTTTTTATCAAAAATCACTAAGGTACAATATATTGTCCATTTCGTAAGTTTGAAAGTAACTTTGGTTGGGAATTAACATTTTTTGTCACATTGCTAATTTTAACTTTTACTAATGTGACACATGTTGGTATATGTTGAAAAGCATTGCCTCACCTAAAAACATAGGGACAAGATGTTCTACGTCGGTATATACTATATTCACTCACATGATTTATATTTAAAATTTAATTTCTCGTCAGAAAAATCATAGCAACATAATCCATGTGAGTGATTTTCCATTTATTGTTTATGTTGATCAATGGACCATTTAGAATTGTCGGGTACATGGGTGAAAGTATACATCACTCATGAGCCTACTTACATTGCCAATTCTTCCTTGTTAAAAGCTTTGCATTTTAGTAGTAAAGGAATGTGATTCTCAATGCAAGTTAGTGAAAGAGGACTTTTTTTAAATATATATATCTATGAAAGTGATTCACAATTTCATTTAACAATCTTATTTCATAATTATCTTATATGATAAAAAGAATAATAATATTGTCATAGA